TTCCCAAACTTCTAAACCACATACAGATCTTATAGGTTTTTAGAGTAGATTATGACTTCCAGTTGATGTCCATTTTTTCCCAGCTCAGGAAATTCTTTATGACACCTAACCAAGATTCTTCTAAATCCTGTCAAGGGAACTTCCCTGGTAGTCCAGTGGTTGAGACTGCACTTCCACTGCAGCGGGTGCGGGTTTGATCTCTGCTGGGGGAACTAAGATCCCGCGTGCCACTCAGCGCCCCCCAAAATTTCAGTTGAAAATCAGAAATAATGGTGTAGAGCTTGAAGGAATTCTGGCAGGTTAAAAGATCTAGCTTAGAGATAGGCAGTTTGGAGAGGTTCTTAGCGAACCCAACCCCATTCTTTATTAAATTCTTGAGTCTTACCTGGCAATTTCATTAGCCAAATGAGCATTTTCTCTGCTTCTGTTGTCTTAGTTGTTCACCTGCTCTGCCCCTTTTCCAGACTGATGGGAAGCAAAGTACAGGCTAAGTGACTGTGTATTCTTTTCTCCACACAAACAGGACTTAAAAGAGGAGATTGATATCCGACTATCCAGGGTTCAGGATATCAAATATGAACCTCAGCTCCTTGCAGATGATGACGCAAGACTGCTACAGCTGGAAACCCAGGGAAATCAAAGTATGTGACATACTTTTGGAGGATACCTCAGTGAGGGGTCTCACAAACACAGAATTCCTTTGCTCTCAGAGTTATAAACATAGCTGCTGGCAGACTCAGCAGCTGTGGGTCCTTGTTACTGGGTATGTGTCAGATGTGGGAGGCTCTTTAAGCTTCCTGGAGTTTGGAGAATCTTTTGAGGGTTATACCTGAGACCAGTCTCTTTCTTAACAGATTGCTACAACTATCTATACAGGATGAAAGCTCTGGATGCCATCCGTGCCTCTGGTAAGGGCTGCTCAGCAGCCGTTCCGGATCCTGAAAGCTCACCTGGGGAAGAGAGGGAGGAACCCACTTTATGTGTTAGAATTTGTCCTTTCTGCACATCTCCGGCTGGTAGGAATTTCCTAGTTTTGAGAGTACTGGGTTACTATTTTACCTAAGGAAAATGATGTATGTAAGTTATTTTTCTCCAAAGAATCTGGATTTGTTTTGTCCTTTCTAGACCTTTAGTTTCATGAACTAGATGGTGGTACTTTGCTTGTTTTCCCACAAAAGACAGGCAGCATCTGCTTTTTCACCAAGCCTACTTAGATGGTTCTTGAATTCTTTTCTATATGACCATTGTCAGAAATGCTCTTGAATTTTTTTCATATGACCATTGTCAAAAATGCTCTATCTCTACCAAAACATAGTTAATATCTTAAACTATGGGTAAATAGGGTAAATAGGAAAATGACACTATTGTGTGTCGTTGGTATAGTTTAACAGTTGTATTGCCACCACCATATGACCACTCAGACATAGCTCTATATCTCTGGTCTTCTGAATTCTCTTAGAATTTCCCCCCAACTCACTCATTGGACCTATTTGTAAGTTTGGGAAATTAATTAGAAAGACTAAACAAATGGGAAAGGGGGTATCATTGTTCTATTATCTCCATAGAGATCCCATTTCATGCTGAAGGCCGGCATCCCCGTTCCTTAATGGGCAAGAATTTCCGCTCCTATCTGCTAGATCTTCGAAACACTAGTACTCCTTTCAAGGGTGTGCGCAAGGCCCTCATTGATACCCTGCTGGATGGCTATGAGACAGCCCGCTATGGGACAGGGGTAAGCCAGATGGCCACTTTTTCCTTCAGGGAACTAAAGGGATGCCCCAGACTGAGAGATCCTCATTCTTCCTTCCTCTTTCTTCAGGTCTTTGGCCAGAGTGAGTACCTGCGCTATCAGGAGGCCCTGAGTGAGCTGGCCACAGTGTGAGTTTGGAGGGGAACATGTCAAAGGGAGCTGGTTAGAGAATACAGGTAGTGCTGGACTGTTCCCACAGTGAGATGACCTTCAAAAGCACTGTGAACAAAATCTATGATAACATAAGAGTTGTCAGATCCTAGACTGTTAGAGCAGCTTCTTGCTCACATTGGAAAGCAGATGCTGCTCTACAAGCTAATAAGAGAAGTTTCTCCTACTGTTGTGCATCTCTTTTTCTCTTGTTTTTGTTTTTTGTCCAACTCAGTAAAATGTCAGAATTGGTATAACCTATTACACCAATAAAGGGAATAAAATAAAGTTTTTCAGCACACAAAGATGCCTTCTCTTCAGGGCCCCAGTGTCATCCTTTTGTGCCTTGGTTCGATAAAAGAATTAAATGCCAACCATTTTTATTACCACTTAAAGTATCAGTAACCCTATCTGAAACAAAAAGTGTCACTAAAGAATCAACTGCCGAGGGCTTGTGTTATAGAAGAGACATCATGATTTTTCTCTGGGAACTTTTTTTTTTCCATTTATGTTATGGCCACATCACAATTCCTCTTTTTTTTTTCATGTTATGTATTTTATTTATTTATTTATTATCTTTTTTGGCTGTGTTGGGTCTTCGTTGCGGTGCACGGGCTTCTCATCGCAGTGTCTTCTCTTGTTGCGGAGCACGGGCCCTAGAGCATGCGGGCTTCAGTAGTTGTGGCTCTCAGGCTCTGGACTGCAAGCTCAGTAGTTGTGGCGCACTGGCTTAGTTGCTCCACGGCGTGAGGGATCTTCTCAGACCAGGGATCAAACTCGTGTCCTCTGCATTGGCAGGCGGATTCTCAATCACTGCACCACCAGGGAAGTCCCTCACTGGGAACATTTTATATACGTACTAACAAACCTTCATTATGTTGTTTATGCATACGTGTAACTGAAAGAGTAAAGAGGGGAAGCCAGTCTAGAATAAAAAGTTAGTTACCAGCCGTGAAAAGAGTACATCTGTTTTCTGCTGTGTTGATTATGGCTCTTTCTCCGAAGATAAGGGGTATGTCTGTCCTGTCTTCTCTCTGTTCTTAAAAATAGACTACCTTGTTCTAAAGACAAAAGGTTCTAGTAAAAACTACTTAGAAAACTAATAAAAATGAACATGTGGAAAGGAGCATTTGGTCTAGAAGTCAGGCAGGAGGCCTGTTCAAAATTCAGTTTCTTTGAAAGACAAATAGTGTATAATTCCACTTATGTGAGGTATCTGGAGTAATCACATTCATAGAGACAGAAAGTAGAGTGGTGGTTGCCAGGGGCTGAAGGAAAGGGGGAATAGGGAGTTGTTTAATAGGCAGAGAGTTTGTTTTACAAGATGAAAAGAATTCTGGAGGTTGGTTGCTCAACAATGTGAATGTACTTAACACTGCTGAACTGTAAACATTTAAAAATGGTTAAGATGGTAAATTTTACGTGTATTTTACCACAATTTAAAAAAAATTTAGTTTCTTTGATCTCTAGTTTCTAGAAAGTTTCAATGAGTATATTGAAGAGTAAAGGCTCTGAAATCTGACAAACTTAGGTTTGAATCCCAGCTGTCTGTCTCTTACTAGCTTTGTGACCTCAGGCAACTTACTGGATGGACCCTCAGTTTCCTAACCTGCAAAAGGGGATGATACCACCCTATAGGAATAGTGGGATGTTAGTAAATTACATGTTGGTAAAGCACCAGGTTTAATGTCCTAATAAGTGCTCAGTAGTTAACTTCAATATTATTTTTTGTTATTCAGTTGTTTCAAGGGACTGGGAGTATATTAATGGCATGCACACATTAGGTGGATCAGCAGAATTAAAAGTTTTCTTTAAGCACAGTGAAATGAAGAGGTTGAGTCAGAGGCAGGGACTCAGTGGGAAAATTGGTTTCTCTGCTATTTCTAGGCTACCAGATGAGATTTTAGTAACTAGTTTATAAGGTAGGACAGAGACCATTTGTGGCTACAGCTGCATTTATAGGATGGATAAGCCTTGAATTGTTTTCCTCCATTAGTCCTCATTCTGTCCGTGACCTGCCGTCTTTGTTTTCTTCAGGGTCAAAGCCCGAAGTGGGAGCTCTCAGCGACAACATCAGTCAGCAGCCAAAGACCTAACCCAGTCTCCTGAAGTCTCCCCAACAACCATCCAGGTGACATACCTCCCCTCCAGTCAGAAGAGTAAACGTGCCAAGCACTTCCTCGAATTGAAAAGCTTTAAGGACAACTATAACACACTGGAGAGTACTCTGTGATGGAGCTGAAGAACTCTCACTGTTGATGAAGCCAGACAGACTGCAGTGTGCTTGCCAGGCAGCCCTCAGGTCAATCTGGCTCAGCAGCCCGGACTGGATCAGCTGAAGCTCTGGTTAAGTTCAGAGCTCTTAGAGTTCATGCCTAGAGATCATTCTCCCACCCTCTCTTACGGCCAGTTTCAGAACATCAGTTAAGACTTTATTTTCCCTTGGTAGCACTTTTCTCTGGAGTTGAATTCAGATGTTTTTCTTAATATTTCTGTTAAAGCTTCCTTAAAAATCCTCACTTGGTTTTAATCATGGTTCATCTGTTCTTTTCCAGACTATAAATAATCCCAAGGGTGAGAGTTGGGATGATGGGACTTGGTGTCTTGTCTTCTGTATCTGTCCCTTCGAACACAGTTGAATGGGAACCATTTGGGTTTGAGACATCTAAGAGTTCATTGGTGGGAAAGGTATACAGGAACTGGTGGGGAGATTGGGTGAGGCCATGAGTGGTATGTGGAACAACTTACCCTGGTGCTCCACTTAAACCAGGATGTGTTGAAACATTAACACAACTTCCCTGGCGTGCAAGGATCTGCCTTCTACTTTCATTCCATACCATCATGAATAAAGTGAAAAGGGAATGTTTTGACACCTGACATAATCCCATCCCTCCTCATGTGTGGGGTAGTGTGAAGGAATGGTCAGACCAATATATTGGTCTGACTTTATATAAACTATTTAATAAAATGAACAATTAAAGAATAAAGCAAATGATTCATTCCTTTATAGTTGTCTTTTAATAAAACAGGCATGTGATATGCTCTCTGGACCTAGAACCATACAGATACTCCTTGGGACCACAAAAGAAGAAATCCTGAAATGTGACTGTGGTCCTTGCTCATAGAATTGCCTGTGTCACTAATAGAAGGCTGGAGAACGAGGATTCCCTTCAGGTCTCCTGGGCAACAGGCCAGGTGACCAATCAACTCCTAGGCCTAGGCTCATTGTTGGAGGTGTAAGTGTTGCTATGACTACTGAAACCTTGGTGACTGAAAACAAAGTAGAGCCTGTTCAGTCTCCTAAGACTACATCAAGCAAGTTTGTAGACATGTCTGTGGAAAAGATGGTAAAAGTAGAAGTATGCAGAGTTGGAAAAGGGGCTGGTTTGGATGCGTTTCCCTGGATGAGGTTTCCAGATCAATTTACCAGAAATGGACAGATGTAACAGAAGGGTAGTAGCAGGAGTGGGAGATGATGTCTGGCACATAGTAGGTGTTCAGATATTTGTTGCATACTAACCACTGCATGTTACCTTTGATCCATTCTGAAAGGAGTAGGACTTTCTCCCCACCTCCCCTAGGAAATTGGCTACTCCCTGTCTCTAAAGGGAAAGGTCTATGTGTCTCCCACTATGATAGGGTACTGAGTGAGGTACTGGAGATCAAGGCAGATCAACAGAACTCCCTTTTCTTGCAGAGTTTTCAAAGGGCCCCGGGACTTAAGAAGATGGTGGACAGGTAATCTCTGCTTCTATCCCTTCCCTTAGCCTTCAGATTGACCTTTTCACCCTCCTGTCCTGAAGCCACTTCTGAGATCTGCTCCATCTTGTTAGGGGCTCCTGAAGAATGCAAACAGGTATGGGAGGGGCAAGAAGCAGTCCTTGTTCTCACAAGCAGAGATCAGCCTCGTAGTGCCCACTCGGTTAGGCTACGTAGGCAATGGTTATTGTCCCTGGCTTCCCATTCTCTGAAGGAAAATTGGAGCAAGTTTTTGTTGTTTTCTTTTTTTACTTTTTAAGGAAAATTCAAGTATTTGTTGCCCAGCATTGCACTAACCATGTGGTAGGTATGCAGTCGGTATTTATTGAATGAATGAATGAGAAAACTCAAAAGATTAGGCTGTATATCTCCATCACCTGGGGAGCTCTTTTCTTTGTTGTTGTTGTTGTTTTTTTTGCGGTATGCGGGACTCTCACTGTTGTGGCCTCTCACGCAGGCTCAGTGGCCATGGCTCATGGGCCCAGCCGCTCCGCAGCATGTGGAATCTTCCCGGACCAGGGCACGAACCCGTGTGCAGGTGGACTCTCAACCAGTGCGCCACCAGGGAAGCCCATGGGAGCTTTTTTAAAAAACACACGTCTTAACCCAGAAGATTCTAAGATGGTCTGGGATTAGATAGGATAAGCCTGTTTTTTAAGGTTTCACAGGTTATATCCAGAGGTAGCAAGGATGTGAGGTAAGAAGAATGCATATAGTGTTAGTGGGAATCAAGATTGATGCAACCTTTTTTCTTTTAATTTTGTTTGTTTATTTTTGGCTGCGTTGGGTCTTCTTTGCTGCGCGCAGGCTTTCTCTAGTTGCAGTGAGCGGGGATACTCTTCATTGCAATGCATGGGCTTCTCATTGTGGTGGCTTCTCTTGTTGCGTTGCACGGGCTCTAGGCGCACAGGCTTCAGTAGCTGTGGCATACAGGCTCGGTACTTGTAGCTCACGGGCTCTAGAGCACAGGCTCAGTAGTTGTGGTGCACCAGCTTAGTTGCTCCACGGCATGTGGGATCTTCCCAGACCAGGGCTATGAACCCGTGTCCCCTGCATTGGCAGGCAGATTCTTAACCACTGTGCCACCAGGGAAGTCCCTGATGCAGCCTTTTTTATGAAGCCTTTTTTATGAAATCTATCAAAATTTTAAATTCACATATCCTTTGAACTGGCAACTCTACTTCTAGGAATTTACTTTACACACATATACCTGCAAAAGCACTAGAATGTACATACATGAGTATTCATGACAGCATTGTTTATGAAAATAAAAAAGCTAGAAACAACATGTAGCTGGTTAAATTATGATACAAAAATACTAGACAGCCTTTAAACAGAACAAAGTAAATCTCTTTGTACTGATACAGAAAGTCCAAATTGTTAAGTAATACTGCTTATGTAAACATGATTTCATGTTAAAAAAAATTAAAAGATAACACTTGCTGATATAGAGAAGTTTTCTGTAAGGATACACAGGAAACTGATAACTTTGTTGAGAAGGACTGGGGCCGAAGAATGAAGCTTTCACTTTTTGTTTAATATCTATTTCTGTTATCAATTTAATTTTTCAGCCATCTGTAAAAAATACTTGATTTTTTAAAAAAATGTCAACAGGAGGGGCTTCCCTGGTGGCGCAGTGGTTGAGAGTCCGCCTGCCGATGCAGGGGACACGGGTTCATGCCCCGGTCGGGCAAGATCCCACATGCCATGGAGCGGCTGGGCCCGTGAGCCATGGCCGCTGAGCCTGCGCGTCCGGAGCCTGTGCTCCACAACGGGAGAGGCCATAACAGTGAGAGGCCCACGTACCGCAAAAAAAAAAAAGTCAACAGGATTATCTGAACAGAGGATGTGTGTGTGTGTGTGTGTGTGTGTGTGTGTGTGTGTGTGTGTGTGTGTGTGTGTGTGTGTGTGTGTGTGAGAGACATACATATATTCCTCTTATATATTAGAAAACCTTAATTCAGACCTAGCCAGGACTAAGTATCACTGGTATGATGGAAGGAATTAATCCTTAGATTGGATTTGATACCCAGGTCTACCATTAAGTGACCTTGGGCAACTCACCTGAACTTTAAAGTTTCCTTGTCTGTATAATGCAAAAATTAATATCTATGACACATGGTTATTATGATGATTGAGTGACATAATATACTAGGTTCTAAGTCAGTTCTAGTTATCCTTTCAAGGAGTTTGCAGTCTTCTCAGGATGGCACAGAAGTTCTGGTGAAGAAGCAGCCTCACTGATGGCGTTTTTGTCTCCACTCCTGACTTTAACCCATTCAACCCCTACCTTTCTGCCTGGGACAGGTGGCGTAATTCACACACTCACTGTCTGTGGCAGATGACATTAAGCCAGAGGAGAAACCCATATGCCATCCTAAGGATGCAGGACACTATGGTGCAGGAGTTGGCACTGGCCAACAAGCAATTACTGATGGTGAGTTCTAGCAAGGGTGACCTGAAGTTTCAGCCCCTACTGCCCTGTGCCTTTGCCCACTGGGATTCCCAAGCTCTTAGTCTCTGCCGTTATACCAGAGCAGCAACTCTTTAACTGTAAAACCAAAGCTCCTTTTCATTGATTCTTTGCATCCAGTTGCAGAGTCCCAAACTGAAGTCTAGTCTTTGCTCCTCTCGCCTTGGTAAGACTGCTTCTTAGTGCCTAATACCTGCCTCTTGGAACCTCTCTCTCCCTGGAGTCCCCAGTTGCTGTCATGTCACCATCTTTGTATCCAAGGTGCCTAGAAAAGTTTCTGGTTCATGGTATGTTCTCAGCAAATATTTGCTGAACATTGGAGCTTCACCCATGGGGAAAAAAAATGGGTAGGCTTTCCCTCCAATGGTTCAGCCTCTATGCTACTGCCTAGCTTATGTCACAGCTAAGTCCAGATCCAAGAGAACACAGGTGATGGGAAAGCAACCAGGGAGAAAGAATGAGAAAGGTGGGTAAACAGAGGGCAAACATGACACTCTATTCTCCCCTCCCCACCAGGTCCGTCAAGCTGCCCTGCACCAGCTGTTTGAAAAGGAGCATCGGCAGTACCAACAGGAACTAAATCAGATGGGCAAAGCTTTTTATGTGGAGAGACTCTAATGGCATTTGAAACATTGTCCTTCCATTCTCACCATACCTGCTAACCTAGATTTCTTGAGCCCCACCACCTTCAGCTTCCTTCCCAAAACTCACCTGGATCTAGTTATGTGCCCAGGACTCAAGACAATGCTCCAACTCTCACCTCTGGTGCCCCTGTCAACCCCCTGGTGCTATAGGGGAAACAATCTATTAAACAATGGTAAAAACAAGAGTGACGCCTTGTGGTCAGAATGACATATGCAGTGTTGATGTGAGTGGGGGGAGGGGAGGTGGATAGAGGCACAATGTGAGAAGCGAATCCTGATTTGGTTTAACAAATAAAGCTAGTTCTTAAAGGTTCAAACCTGGACTACTGGCTCATTCTTTCAGCCCTAAATCTTGATCTGTTTCAAAAGTGCTTATTCACAGCTGCCATAATCTTAATAGAGCTTTCTGGATTTTGCTCACCACCTCTCTGATCTCACTTCCACTGATTTTTTCTGTATACTTGGACAAATAGCTCTGAATATGGCTATTAATCCACAGGTACTATGGTCCTTGATGTCAGTAGGCCTGGATTTTAGGTTCTGACTTGGCAGTTATTGTGAGACCTTGGACAAGTCTCTTTCATCTGGATTTCTGCCTGAATTCCCACCTTGGCAAAATAACGGGGTTCCAGACTCAAATGCCTTCAGGAGTCCGGCAGTTATAAGGGGATAAGGGATGGTGGGATTTATGGGGGACTGGAAAGAGCATGTGAAATCTAAATGCATTCAAAATTCTTAAAAGTACTGATTAATCATTTGCATCTATAGGCCATAGAGAACTTTACTTATAAAGATCCGCTTTACATACAAATGACATCTCAAGCCAGAGAGACTCCCACCCTGCATCCAGTAACAGGTGCAGGAACACGCTCTCACTCTCTGATGTAATTGCCATCGTATGTACTTTTCCCTGTTCCCTCACCTTGCCATCTGCATGCTCATTGGTTACTCATCCTTTCCACACTGATGGTTTCCTGCCCTCAAACTCCATGTGGCTCTGTCTGCACTGCAAAACTCGCACCTTTTCTTTCCCCCCTCCCCCAAGTCTGCCTCTGTCCTTCAATATGCATTTTTCATCTTAGCTCAGAGCTTCTCCTTCCTCCTTTCCCTACACACCCCACTGATGAGGAGCACAGAGAAGCAGCAAGGTATAAAGAGAAAAACACACGCTATGGAGTCAGGTGTGCGTTCAAAGTCTGACTTCACCTCTTAATTGTGTCACCATGTGTAAGTTACATCTCTGAGCCTCAATTTTCTCTTCTGAAAATGGGGATAATACCCATCTCAGAGGAACATTATGAAGATTAAATAAGATTATGTAGAGAGCAAGCCCAGCGCTTGGCACGCAATAGGTATCCTCCTTCTTCCCTCTTAGGAGATTTCCCCGTGACCAAGCCCTTCACAGGTCCCCTACTGGCCCCCTGGCCAGCCCCCTTATGCAGCTCAAATGTCATTCTCCATCCCAGGCCTGTCTTTCTGTTCTATATATCCATTCATCCTCCAGTCCCCATCAGCCCTGCTTCCCAAGCCGTCTTATCTTTAGTCAATAACTACTCAAGTGTTGTGACACCAAACAAGACACGGAGCTCACAGGCTGGTCAGAGAGGCAGGCGTTGACCAAATCATGACAGGTATGATGAGAGTTTTATAGGAGAAAAACCACACACATGTCCTGGATTTGACCCGCAAACCTGGCTGAGTCTCCCATTCCTTCTGCCTGTTCCCCCGCCCTCTATTCCCTGCGGGTCCACCTTGCCTTCACTCCTTTTATCTTCCCTTGTATCTGTCTCCCAGCTGCCCCCCGCCTCTTATATATGACAGCATAGCCTGGCGTTAGGAGAACAGGCTTCCACATGTCAGAGCTGGGTTTGAATTCTGGCTGTCACTTACTGCCTGTGTGGCCTTGAGCACATAACTAACTTTCTGGGTCACAGGGGGTTTTTTATATGTAAAATGGAGATAACGCCTACCCCACTGGATCACTGTGGAGATTAAATAAAGCACTTAGCAGAGAAGTGGCATATAATATGCAATAAATGCTAAGTCATAATGATGTTTTCCTGCCCTGTGATAGTCTTTCTCTTTTTATTTCCTCTCCATTACCTGGCTGCCCCCCCAACCTCCCACCACACTCTCTCATCAACCCCTTTTATTCCTCTTTCCTCTGTTCATTTGGGCCCACAGAATGCCCAGCCCCCTCTGCCTTGATCCCTGACCTTGTCCTCTCTCCCCAGGGCTTGTCAGTGCCAGGCTGGCTCCAGTATTGGCAGTCTGGCCCCCTCCGGAGCCCATCTCCTCTGATCCTCTCTGCCTACTCTGTCCGCTCTCATCACATCAACTGAGTAGTTCACCCCATCATACCCACGCAGCCCCTTTTCCCTCTGTGGCTGGTGCCTTACCCAACTCCTCAGGCTCAGAAGGACTCAGTCTTGCTTGAAATGGCTACACAGAAGTTACTTCCAGGAGAGCTAGAAAGCTTTCATCAAAGGCAATCTGAGATTTCGGCCTGGATATGCCATCCTGTCAGTCTCCTCCTAAGAGAGCTACTCGTCCCCTACGTCAATGTTTCCTGTCTCTGCCTCTGTTTCCCCAGTGCCCCAAACACTAAAGTCCTTTCAATTCCTGCTAGTCCCTTTCCCAGCCTCTCTCCCTCCAGCCTGTGGTTCTCCAGGACAATCAAGGTTCCCAGAGAAGGGAACTAGAACTTGGGGGAGGGGGTGTTAAGGATAAAAAGGAAGGTCAAGAAAGTAAAAATTACACACAGACTGAAACCCATAAGACAACACCACAGGTGCCTACCTTGGAGCTTGTATGCCCATTTGTTAGTCTTCCTCTGGAAGGTAAGAGCCACACAATAGGAATTGACTGGGGCTTGGGACAAGCTATCGATCTAGACCAAGGGCACTGTCGAGTTGGCATATGTGTTTGTGTGTGTGTGTGTGTTGAGGGGGTGTGGAGGTGTTCAGCCTAATGGGAACAAGGACACATGGAACAGGCCTGGGGGCTGAAGCAGAGCATCCTCCTCCCACCCCATACTTCCACCCAAGCCCCCCACCCCACCAGTGTAGCTATAACTCGGGCTCCTTTCTGCCACAGTAGAGAGAAGAATCTGCCTGCCACATGACATTCAACAGACCTGGTTCTCTTCAGAAGAAAAATCTCGCAGAAAAGCAGGCACCAGGCTGGATCCCTGTGAGGGAAGACCATGAGAGAAGCCAGCCCAGGAGCTTGCGTTGTAAAAAGCCCCAGAAGAGGAGGAGAGTCCCAAGGACTGCAGGCTGTTTCCTGTCAGAGGGGGTTTCCTCCCTCCCTTTGATCTCCTAAAATCTTACTTCTAATTCCGCCAGGCGGGAGAGACCATATTTCTTCTCTGGAGCCCAGGCTGGAGCCTGCTAGTGAGACAGGTCACTCTTCTCTTCTGGACACCCAAGGGTGGCTTTAAGGAGGATGCCTTTAATCTCACATGGGGAGAAGGTGAGAAGGGACAAGATGGTGGGAAGAAGCAGCCAAGCCTTCTGGAAGTTTCTCATGGCTACTAATCTGTCATACTTAAGAGCAGGAGGGTTCCAGGAAGGTGTCCGCTGAAAGGCTGTCAGCAGCCTTGTGTGGGTGTTGGAAAGGGAAAGCAGGATGTGCAAGTCCTCACCCCCACTCTGGCAAAGCCTTGGGGCAACAGGAGGGGAGTTGAGAACAGGTGGCAAGGTTGATGAGGACCTGCTGACACTGCTGATCCTCTGGGCACTGGGGCCGTGACATGATAGGGAGAAGCTCCGTGTTGGAGCTTTGGGGAAGAATAGGTGCCCAGATGTGGAGCCCTGCCAGATATTCTTCCTGGTTTAGGCCAATGTGATCCAGCGAAGGCCAGGCACTAGTAGGAGAGGAGCCGGGACCGGGATGGCACGAAGAGAAGATGAATAAGAGCCGGCTGTCTTGGGAGGCAAAGAGCAAGGGTCAGTGCCCTTCCCCAAGGAGATGGCTCTCCATCTAGCCATGCTTGGTGCCTGGTGTCTCTGCTCTGTCCTTTCTTTGCAGTGGGGAGGAAGGCAGAGGACCACCAAAACTCTCCTGCCAGCTTCTGTGTGATATGTTTGATATTGGGTTGTTTAATTAGGAACCAACTAAATGTCAAACATATTCTTACAGCAGTAGGCAATTTAGCATCACACCCTTTCCTACCTCAACCTCTGGGGCTCTGGGGCTCCTGTCTTTTTTACTGAATCTCTTCTCTCCAGGACCCCTTTGGAAGACCAGTCGCTGCAACCTATGTGGATTTCAGTCTTGAACTGGAGGGCTAGTGTGGGAGCAGGAGAGAGCTGAAGTCTGAGTATCAAATCTTCCTATACCTTTCCCTTATACTAGAAGGGATATGGCTCTGATCTTTTCCTGTCCTTGTGTTTTTCTCCTCCTTATTCAATCCCCCCACCTTATTATCCACTGCTTCCTGTCCCTGGGACTCTCTCATTCCGTTCCCTAAGGGCAACAGTAGGGGTCTTCGGTTTTTCTGCTTTCCTTCAAGAGTCAGCTGATGGTCTATCTGCGTATCTACCTCTATTGACTGGAAGCTCTCCTGAGTGGACTCCAGTTTTGCCCTCTACGCTGGTGGGTGTTTCAGTCACCCCATTGTTGGGGCCTAGTATTAATACTACCCATCTATCCTTGACATAATGACTAATTAGAGCCATTTATATTCTTCCCTGTTAGCTCTGGTCACCTTGAACAGTGCCCACCTCTCCCTGGCATATTGTCAGATTGTATGGTGCCGGTGTCTGGGATTAACTGCCACCTGTCAGTAGCAAGCCTCCAAGTGGAATGAACATGGCCTGGAACGAAGCCAGGGGAAACAGAGCGGGTAACTATGACGATTATCGTGATGAGTGGGGAGAGTTAAGAAGGGAGCAGAGGGTGAGGAGAAGAGTAGAGCAACACCGACCTTGGTCTGTGTGGCTATAAAAGCTCTATTTAAAGATCACTATGGGGAAATGGAGAACATTATCCTATCTGGATTACTCTGACCATCCCCCCGCTTTCCTCCCCTGGCCCTACCCGCTTGAAGCTCTGGGATGGCCCTCTAGATCCCAATCCTACCCTCTTACTCCATCCCTGTGGCTCTTAAGGGGGAGGAATGATGTCTCCCTGCCAATTAGAGACTCTCAAAATAGCACAGTAATTTGATCTGGGGATCTGGGGGAATTGTCAAAGATCATGAGTGGCCTCCCCTCTTCACTGTTGCTCAAGCTCCCTGAATACCAGGAATCAAAAGGTAAAACTCAACCAGTGGAATTTGATTAGCATCCAACAGAGTCTGGGTGAGAGTAAGGGGGACGCTGAGGGCAACTAGGAGCCTCTGGGCGAAAACTACCATTCTAGAATTGCCAAAGTACCCTTCTCTATTTCAATGTCCTCCCCTTCCCCCTCCCTTCTCTTTTAAAATACCCATAGAGCTGCCCAGAGTGAGTGGAAAGTTTCAGGGTCAGGGAGAACCTTTCCCCTCCCCCCCACTTTCCATTGTCTAAAATCAGCCTCAGCTGTTCCCTAATTTTTCTTTGCTGGTGATGTCTGTCCATCAAAGTGTCTCACCCTGTGTTCCCCTGAGAACAATGATGGGGCGAAGGGAGCTGGAAAGACCATATTAGGAACAAGAGGTGGAGCCATGGGCAGAAATAAAGGCTCAAGTCTGGGGAACTAGTCACTCAGCCAGCAGCCCCTTCTTTCTTACCCTAGTCTCCAGTCCTCCAGTGTTCACAGGTGAGCTCCCCAACAGCCACTGGTCACGATGGAGGCCATCAAGAAAAAGATGCAGATGCTGAAGTTGGACAAGGAGAATGCTCTGGATCGGGCAGAGCAAGCTGAAGCCGAGCAGAAGCAGGCAGAAGAAAGAAGTAAACAGGTAGGCCTTGGCCTTGGTCTCTCTCACCTGCTGGTGAACACGACTTGTGAGATGGAAGAGAGTTTTCATGGGAAAGGCAGTGACCACTGGTGCCAGCTCATCCTTTGGGTGGGAGGGACTCCTCTTCTTCCCCAGGCTCACTGGATAGGCAGAGGACATCTAGGGTATTTACCTCAGACTGCCTGTGTGACCTTGGGAAAATCGGTGGCCCCTTCTGAGCCACAGTGTGTCTGCTGGATTTAAGTGGGAGTGGATCATGTTTTGGAAAAAACCCTGAATTCTAGAGGAAAAAGTGGGAGCTTGGCATGTAGCATCTCTTTTCCCTTAAGTGGAGTCATGGACATCTACATCCTAAGTAAGATATTTACCATCCCAGTGTCTTAATGAAAACCCAGCATGGCTCGGTCGTCTTAGGGTCAGAGATTACAAGGTCACAGGCAAAGGGCATAGCATAATTCCTGGGGCAGTTGGCTGAAACTGACTAGGGAGAAAGTGTGTCACTCTGAGGATGATAACATAGAGGCTGAGCTCAGAGGTCTGTCAGGGCTCAAGAGACTAGGGTCTGAGACTGCACTGTTGTGTATATATATCTTGTGTGTGATTCTTGGGGCTTCTATAGCTGGAAGATGAGCTGGCAGCCATGCAGAAGAAGCTGAAAGGGACAGAGGATGAGCTGGACAAGTATTCTGAAGCTTTGAAGGATGCCCAGGAGAAGCTGGAGCTGGCAGAGAAGAAAGCAGCTGATGTGAGTATACAGAAATGGGGGGACGGGTTTAATCTACACACATAGATCTTCATGTTAATAACTAAACACTTGGACATATACATACTTGTGGATTCAGAGAACATAGGCATAGATACCCACATACATTTTTGCCACATGGTGGCATACCCTTGTAATGGCATATACTTTCTTTCTTAAAGACATGTAGAAGTCTCACCTTCTTACCCCCAATCCAGGAATTGAATTATCTTTCCCCGGACCTGGACAAAGGGAAGGGACTCCAAGTCCAGACTGCTATCACTTTTCCCACCTCCTCCCCCATGCCACATTCTTACCTTTTGTGTCCAAGGATTGGCACGTAGATATGTGTATTAATAGGGAAACTCTCATCTCTCAACTGCCCAGCAAAGCCAGCTCAGCTTTCACAGTGGGACAAAGGAGGTCACACTGACCCTGGCCCTATATGGGTTTATTTATCTTGGCCAATGTGGGCATTTACCCTTATGTCACAGAGATGCCATAGAAAACATTGCTTATAGGGCAGCAGAGAGAATCTTAGAATGATATACTATAATAGAAATAAGGACTCAGGGGGTAAAGTTGTCACCACCAGACCTTATTCTGTGACCTTGACTAAATTACTCAGCTTCTCTAGGGCTGAATTTTCCCATTTGAAAATGAAACAAATTCTCTTTTCCACTTCATGTTATCTCATAATCACCCACTTTCCTTCATCTTCAGTCCTGAAGTTAACCACAAAGATAAATGAGACACAGGAAAGATTTTTGGAAGAAAAGTAACATAGGAATCTTAACAGCAACAAAAGAATGTCCCAGTATTGATGGAAATACAGTCAATTCTCAGCACTGGGTTAATAGGAACATGTGTTTTTTAAAATTCCATTTGGTTTCAGAAAACAGCTAGAGACAGAGTAGGCCGTTCAGAAATGTTTTCGGATCCTCACTTTCAAACGCTTTGCTATTAGGTTTCTGATCTCCTCTTCGGCTTTCTGCCACTTTCAGGGGCCTGGGGAAGTGGTGAGGGTTGTTGAATATATCATGCCAGAGGTCAGAGACACAAAGCATATCATATACATTATACATGTTCATAGTTTCCAAAAGTTTAGGCCACTGCAAACTATTAATTAATTCTCCCTTCTTGCAAAACTGTGAGCAACACAGGTTAATCCCAGGACTTTGGGCAAATGCTTGATGGCCTACTGGAGTTGCCTAACCTAGATTCTAGGTATAGATGGATAGATTTCTCTGGTTCTAATAAACGGGCATGGGAGTAAGTTTTCACAAACTGACACAATGTCAGGTTGATAACAATTTTGTGAGAGGTTGAGTAACAACTCTCTGAGAAAGTCCTTAGGCTGAAACAGCTAGTATGTGGGCTTGAGGAGGTGTTTCCAGGAACAATGAGAAGAGCCAACAAGTCTAACCTGAGATCTTGGGGGCGAAAGAACGACATAGAGGCTCTAAACAATATGCCCATATCATTGGGAAGATAAAGGAATTTGCTGGGGATGAATTCTATCTGTCCTTACACATACACACACACGTCAGCCCCCACCTAGACAGGGTCTACTCAGTACATTCATTTGAAAGAAACTTCTCATATTTATATAGGAATCCACCAAAAACTTTTAAATACGTAAAGTATGAGTAAAAAAACTCATTCAACTTCTCTCCCCCTTGTTAGCTTTCCGAACAGTCATTAAGTACCCTCAGAGATACGTAGGAGAACAAGAAATAGGAGGGGAAGGTTGTAGGCAAGAGGCAAACATCTGTTAGTTCTGGGTTAAGATGGAAACAGGAAGAAAGGTTTTTAAAAAAAATTTTTTTTTATTTTTGGCTGTGTTGGGTCTTTGTTGCTGCGTGGGGGCTTTTCTCTAGTTGCAGAAAGCGGGGGCTACTCTTCGTTGTGGTACGTGGGCCTCTCATTGAGTGGCTTCTCTTGTTGCAGAGCACGGGCTCTAGGCGCAGGCTTCAGTAGTTGTGGCTCGTGGGCTCTAGAGCCCAGGCTCAGTAGTTGTGGTGCACGGGCTTAGTTGCTCCATAGCATGTGGAATCTTCCCGGACCAGGGCTCGAACCTGTGTCCCCTGCATTGGCAGGTGGACTCTTAACCACTGCGCCACCAGGGAAGCCCCAGGAAGAAAGGTGTCTTTTCTCAAAGGTGGGGTCAGCAAACTACCACCTGTGGAGTAAATCCTGCCGCAGCCTGCTTTTGTACAAAGTTTTATTGGAACATTGCATGCCCATTCATTTACATATCGCCTACAGGCTTTTTCCCTACAAAGGAGTGGTAGCCACACCCTATGGCCCACAAAATCAGAAATATTTACTGTCTGGCCCTTTACAGAAAAAGTTTGCTGACTCCTGCCTCAAGGGGTCGAAGAGGGAAAGTGAGGTGTTTATGGGAATTGGGAAAAGTGCTGAATAAGGAGGAGGCAACAGGTTAAAAGTAGGAAGCAAGGGTCAGAGTCAGCAGCAACATAATATATGCATCTTTGAGGGGAGGGTGCTCTAATACGAAGGGAGTTCACAACTCAGCTTTTGCCCTTGAGATTAATAAACAAGTAAACAGAGCATATTACTTTGATGTAGATATAAGGGAAAGAGAAGGAGGAGGGAATCAATAACTGCATGTTTACACAGTGAGTTCTGGTTATCTGAGAAGCCTTTTTGGAAAGTGTAGGATTTGCCAGGACTCCTTGAACAAAGAAAGGGTGAGGGTGTGGCAAGATCAGACTAAACTTATTTCCTCCCTGAGTTCATCCAAGGTCCTATTTGTTTGTTTTTTAATTGTGGAAAATATATACATAACATAAAATTTGCTATTTTAACCGTTTTTAAGTGTACAAGTCAGTGGCAGTAAGAACATTCACACTGTTGTGCAACCATGTCTAGGGTTCCTTTAATCTGAGATGAAATGAGAAGCTATTGAAGGTAAAATAAGGGGAAAGAAGAGTGCAATAATTTGGACATGAGAGTCATAACACCCTTTTTTAAGGACAGGAGGTGAAAGGGATGGGGAGAAGAGGGACAGGACAGACATATACACCTGTTGATATACTGTTGTATTGTTGGTTACCAGGAAGGCAGTAGCACTGGGCCCCTTGCTGTCCATCCATCATGCTTTTAAAGGTCATTAGGAGTCAATCCACCTGTTTCCCGGGATCAAGAGAAGATTATCTGTTCAAATCTACCAGCCTCAGGAATGCAGTGGTGCTCTCACCACTCCTTTGGTTTGTTTAAGATGAGGTCTTCTGATTCTTCAGTAGGGCAAAGGGCGGGGACGCGCTGTGTGTGTGTGTGTGTGTGTGTGTGTGTGTGTGTGTGTGTGCGCGCGCGCGCGCGCGCGCGCGCGCAATACTGCCCCCTGCTGATCAGCACCCAGATGACAAAGTCTCATTTTTGTTTCCATAGTCTCTCTCATCAGGTTTCTCCAAAGAGAGTTGTAAAAATTCTTAGGCCATCAGGGCAGTTTACTGAGGCTTCAAGCCCTGCTTTTTCTTTCCAATTCCTGGGGTGGGGTGGGGTAATCAGAGTGTACAGGTAACTCTATCAAGCAAATTACTTATTGTTTGCATTGTTTCTGTTTCCTCTGAATAGTCTCAATGCTCAGTATTTCTAAATGGAGATAGTTGAAGACACACCCTCTGGTGGGAGTATCTTCAGAACCAGGCATTGAGTGCAGCACCTGACTTACCTATCAATCTTTTTGGGGATTAGGATTCTTAATTTAAAATCCTCTTCTACACCCTCATTCTCCAGAGGAAAAGAGAGCTGCATCACAGGAGAGACTTATTACTATTACTTACTGAGAAGGTGGCAGGAACACAAAGAAATAAGAGGGAACAGTAAAATCTCCAAGGCCCTTTACTACTGTGCTCCTAAAAATCCTGCATGGCAATGTCTGTAGGGGCAGTTTCTAACTCATAAATAGCTCCTTGGGGTACCTGGAAGCAGAGCGGTGTGAAATTGGTGAGTTATAACAGAGAATGGAGGCTGAGTTCCACATTACTATAGTTTTTCAGGTGCTCATATCATGCTGTTGCACAAAGGATCTGGTAACAGTAGTCTGTAATAGCGGATTCCTTCTGACAAAATGGAGGCATAAGATATCTTCCAATTCCTACAAAAGGAATTGTAAGCGATGATTAATTACCAAGTCCTGAATCATTCAAGGTTTGGAGAGGCAGGCAAATCACTGGTGCATATTGACTCTCAAAAGTAACAGGGGAAAAGACCAGTACTCTAAATAGAACACTTATATTCATAACTGATGCCAAATAGATTGAGAACTTTGTCAACCTGCCCATCTCTTCATCCCCCATTAATTTCTTCCATTGATTTTCAGGAGATGGGAGAGAACCTACCTGAGCAGACTTTAAAAGGAGGCTGGAGGTCATCGTCTTTTGAAGATGAGACCCAGAAAGTCTAGGCTTTTCTTAGTACCTGGGTTTGGAGCATTTGTGGGGTGCGTGGAAGTAGAGGCTTGTAGGGTGTTTATGTTGTGGAGAGGACACAGGGTGCCCTAGCGGGTAGGTGGTGGCGGATCAGCACTGAGGGAGTGAGGGGTCAACGGCGGGTGTAAAGGCCGCACAGGCCAACCATTGGGCAGCCTGCCCAGCGACTGGAGAGGCTTAACCACGACGCGCCTTCCGGTTACCATGGTAGCCTTCCCTCTTCCCAACCCCGCCCCCCTTTGCTGGCCCGAGGGAAAGGCTGGGAGCGGTCGCCTAGGGCTACAGCGAGGTCCCGCCCCTCGCTCCCAGCCGCGGGTCTCCCTCCAGTGGACGGCCTTCCCGCCTGCCTGCGGTGGGAGGGCGCGGCAGTGGTGGCGTCACATCCGGGCGGGTGGGTGAGTTCCGGTATTTCAGGGCGGAGCAGGCGGAAGTAGGGTGAGAAGTGGCTGCAACGCCGAGCGGAGGAGGCAGGAACCCGAAGGCAAGCAGGGGCTGGGTGGGGACCATGGCCGGGATCACCACCATCGAGGCGGTGAAGCGCAAGATCCAGGTTCTGCAGCAGCAGGCCGATGATGCAGAGGAGAGGGCCGAGCGCCTCCAGCGGGAAGTGGAGGGAGAAAGGCGGGCCCGGGAACAGGTACGGAGAGGGCGAGGCGCGTGAAGGAGGGGCAGGCGCTGGAGAAGATGGGACAGAAGTGGGTTCCATTTTTGCGGTGGAGCACGGTCCTTAGGGGGCCAGCATACTCGAAGATGAAGTTGGAGCTCGGAGGATGGGTGGGGCTTAGCTTCATTTGGACCTCGAGCGGGTGAGGGGGAACTGGGTGCTCGAGCGAGCAGGCTTGACCTTTGAAGGAATTGAGCTTCACTGGGACTAGCGGATGGTTTTCTTCCTCCTCCTCCTCTTTTCTCCCTGCTCATTCATTCAGTCCCTCCGAGTCGGGCGCGGTCAGGGGAGGGGCTCAGCGGCCTCTCCCTCCCCCACTTCCCCGTGGCGGGGGGCGGGGATTGTGCTCTCGATTAAGGTTTCTGGCTCTAGGGGTGAGAGTAGGTGGATTCCTCTCTGGTCTGGGTGGGGGCAGAGCCGAACTTACTGTGAAAGGGTGGGGAGTGGAGGGGTGGGAACCGCCGGAAAGCCCCCGGCGTGGCCTGCTGGCAGCTTTTCCGCTCCCTCCTCCTGCTCAGGAAATGAGGCAGCAGTCGGCTGAGAGGAAGCGCGGTGCCCTCCCTGGAGGAGGTTGAGGCCACAGCACCGCCCCATCCTCCGTCCTGGGGCCCTTTCCTCTTAGGGGGAGCCCTTGCAACTGCTAAACCCACTCTTTCTGTCGTAGTGAAGCAGGAGGGGAGGAGACGGTACTTCACTCTCTCTGTTAGTGCAAATGTAGGAACCAACAGAACTTGCTATGATGACCTGGAAGGCAGGAACTTCTGCCAGATTCAGGCGTTTATTGCTGAAGTGTGAAGAGTGCAAGTTGAACCGGTTATGAACACTTCTTCCAAGCAGAGCTGATAAGCGAGTGTATGTGGTAGAGAATCTGATGGAGTGCCGATTTCTGTCAAAGTTTCTGGTTGACCTAGGCAGTATGGTTGATGGAGACAAAATAATGAGTTCCGAAGTGATGTTACTCTGCTACTTTCCCAATTACCCATTACCGTCTTTTTTTAAATTTAAGTTCAATAAATATTTGTTCAGCTGAAGGTTGGCACTTAAAATGTTAATGGATTGAGTGGTGATTCTTGAAACTGCTTTCTCTTTAGAAGTGGTGGACTAGTTTTAGTAAGCCATAAGATTTTCCAAGGTCTAGGGCGCAGTCCATTGGGTGGAGCTGATCTCCTGAGTTGAGGCTTTGGTTTTGGAGGATCTTGAGGCTGGAAAGTAACTGTTGCTAAAATTTGAAGACCTAGTGAAAGAACTCTTGTGGTTTATTGGTATTCCTTGTTGTTCTTTCCCTTGGTAAGTTCCCCCCCCCCCTTTCTGGCTGCTCCTTCAGGGAGTGGCTGAGAATTAATGTTTTGGGGGGGAAAGGGGGAAAACAGCTGCCCTCCAGGTTAATACTTAAAGATTGTTAGAATAGTCATTTCTTTTTATAACTGGGCATGGAAGTGCTGGGAGCTTGTCTTTCTCAGTCACCCATTTCTCAGTGGATATTTCCTCCGTTCATTATGCCCGTAACTTCTAATTATCAATTCAAGTGAGATGGACTGGCTGGGTGACTCTTTACGACTAGCGACAGCTTCTCATCTCCTTTGTTCTGGAGACCAGATCCCCTTAAAGGGGAAGACAGGGATGGCCTGAAGGAACTAGCCATGTGTTGAGCTCCAGAATCAGGCTCAAAGTAGGGGCATGCTAGGAATAGTTCTAGGATAGATGATGTTGTCCCCCCAGCAACAGCCCCCAGGATTTTGTTTTCCCCCTAGGATCCTCACCCACTGCCCCGAGGATTTGGTAATTTTTCTTGCAGGAAAATTTAACTCCTTTTTTCCCCACCCTTGGTGACTCTAGGGTAATAGGCAGCAGAGGGAGCAGCTTCAGATGTTTCTTAAGCTTCTCCCTCAGAGCCTGCCAAATTTGCTTATTGAGCTGAGTGAGATCTAGTGAGAAAGCCCTCAGATGGGGAAGTAGTGTTAAAGATTTATGAAACCGGTATCTTCTACTCTCTAGCTTGAGGGAGCCTAATCTTTCGACTTTCTGCTCTAGTGAACTTTGAATTCCTCCTGAGGAGACACACCTGTGGGAAGGGAGGGGAGTGGTGCTTGAACTGTCTGTTATCCTCTTAGGGCATTCTGGAATGTGGGTTTTGCAGGCTCCTCCCTCCTGGAGCTGGAAGCTCTGCACTCCCTGATGGTATCGCATGCTGTTAGTGGGATTGTCACTTAATTCCTTTTCTGGTTGCTTTGTGTGAACATCCAACCCTTGTTGGGAAGCTGGATGAGTCCAAAGCAGAGACCGAGTTCTGGAATACATCTGTCTTTTCTGCTCTTGGTCTGGAGATTGACTTTTTATAATGTAGCACCTTGTCAAATCCACTTTTGATTTTGAATCTCCTTTGCACTTTTTGCGAAACTGAAACAGGCTGCAACATAATATTTAAATGCAGTGTTTTTCCTTCTCTGTGTGTGTGTGTGTGTGTTGTGGTAAAAATACACAATGGTAAGTATTTACCATTTTAACCGTTTTTAAGTGTACAGTTCACCTTATTTGTTGTTAATACCTGTCTCCTAACTTCCGCGGGTATTTCTCTCTCTGTCTCTTTTTTTTCCTGGTGTAAAAAATTTAGGAATACTACTGAGGGAGTAAGTGGGCTTTGACTAGCAGTTTCGATTGTGGCCTTATTCCCAAATTCCTAATCTGCAGGGGGTGGGTGGCCGTGGTTAGAATGTCTGACTGTTGTGTGGCTCTCTCCTGTTCATAGGGTCTGGTGGAGTAAGCAACTGGCTTTATCACCTTTCTTTGGTTTAGGTTTGCTTTCCCGCTGAGTACCTTTCTCTTACCTTCATACTAGAGCACATACTCATAGGGGAGAGCCAAATAGCCCTTTGCTCTGAGTGCCTCTGCTTAGACTCCACCTTTGTTTACTCTGGGACAGATAACTCTGTTTCCTTCCTTCCAACTTGCCTGCCCCTTGATGAAATTTAAAGTCCCCAAGGACACAGTATCTCCCTGGGTAGATAATATTTGTGAACACAGTGAACTGGGGCAGTCCATTACTCACAGGGCTCAATCCTAACTTTTTCATTACTCTTTTCCTTTGCATTTCATCCGTGGCTTTTGTCTAAAAAGAGAAACCCCAGAGTGGCAGAATGCCAGATATAGGCTAATCCCCTTCTGTCCTTGGCCCTGATCTGCCTCTGAACACCAGTCCCCTGTCCGTTTCTTGCCTTGACGGGTATAGTGTGCTTGGGGAATCTCTTCAGTGTGGAGGATGGTAGCATTTAAACCAAACCCATTTCATAGCTGAAGCTGTTGTCAGCCATCTTCTGATATGACTGAATCGCTGCTGTGTTCCCCTCTCCGGCTTTGGGATTTTTGCTTCTTGGGTAATGGAGAATCCTATTATTACTTGAAGGAAGGACCTCACAGTGTACCTCCAAGCTGGGCAGAGGTGGGCAAGCTGAAAGATCAAAACCACATCTAGGCATGCTAAACCTAGGGTGACAGAAGAGCATATAAAGTTAATGTTTCTCAGGGCCATGTTTCCCATTCTCATCTGCAGAAGTTAGTCCCACTCAGTCTCTTGGTACCACTTGATTGACCTGAAAGGGATAGGCATTGTGCATAGGTTCTGGCTGGAAGGAAAAGTCAGGTAGGTGTCTTCCCTTGTTCCTTTAAACATTAAACAGATCTTGATTTTGCAAGCTTTTGTTTCATTGTAAAGAAAACTGATCCTCTGTGGGAGGAGAAAAAAGAGGATAGTGACTGCCCTCCTCCCTTCCCTCCCCACCGGGGTCTCCAAAGCTTTTGCTGGGACTCCCATCCTGGGTTCTGTTTTTGGTACAGCCTTGTTCAATGTGCGCATGCTCTAGTTAGGGCATCAAGATGTGTTTTCTCCTCCTCCCTTTTCAGCCTTGCGAAGAATTCTATTGTAAATGCTGATTTGTGGGAGAAACTGCCCGAGCCAGCTTGTTGTCATGGAAACTGTACACCCCCGCCCCCGTAGCCTGTTATCTTTACTTCATTTGGGTAACTTCTGGTGAGCTGGGTGGGGACATAGATTTCCTGAGCTTCCTTCAAATCTGGGTTTGATGTTGTTCCCTTTTTTTTTTTTTTTTCTTTAGTTCTAGGCATCTGAAGGGAGCGGGGTGGGATAAATCATTGTACTGGCAGTGTTGCATAGTTCTTGGCTGATAGGCAGACTCGTTCTCATAATCTTGACCTGTCAGCCTTTTTGAGCTTGTGAGGCGAAATGTGTGTTGTCTTAGGGCGCATCTGGTTTCCTGAGACAGGACCAGAGAATACTTGTCTTTGTGTTATTTTGAATAGAGACACAAATGGTTTCTTAGTAATTTCAGCTTATATAGATGTCTTGATTTTCTTTTCCTGTAGGTCAGTGGTTATATAGCCCCAGCCCCTGCAGTGCCTCGAATCTCCCATGTTTGTATTTGGAAATTTTTGTGCCAAATTACCTGATTCTTAACAGGAGTGTTTTGGGCTATATCCCTTCCCATAGGGGCTGGTGGCCCAGATTATTTCTCTAGCTACCCCCACCCCTGACTGCCAGGAGGAAATCAGGGTAATAGAATTCAGGCACAATCTGGGCTGTAGAAGAGAGATCGTGTTTACCAAGCACTTGGATAAGCATCTGAACTGGGGAGTGTGCAGGGCAGATTAAATTCTTGCGCGGTTGTGGCGGTCAGTGTACTTGCCACCAGTAAAGGTCTGGGGAGGGGAAAGGCAGTCAGAGGAGGGAAGATTTTCTACCAGTAGAATTCATGCACATGCTGCTGCCTTCTTCTTTCCTTGTTTCTTATTCCATTGCCAAGGAGGAGGTATGGGATTACTTGGACTGTAGCCTGTGCTTTATTGTGGGGTGGAGGCCAGGGAGAGGATTGTCATGCCGTACTGGAGGGTTAGGCTAAAGGGATGACTTGAGGAATAGAAAGGAGTCACAATTCAGAAATTTGGAGGTTGGTGGTGGGCATGAAGGAAACATTCTCTTCTGCCCCCAGTTTTTTTGGTAATGCCATCAGAGCAGATAATTTTAGCCAAAAGAAGCTCCTTGTAGCCAACTTTTAAAAGGTGGGAGGAGGGGGCAAGTTGAAAGGGTAGGAGGTAGGTATCCCAATATTCCATCCTTTTGCTTTTTCTGTTCTGGAAGGTTCTTCTGGAAAACATTATTCTTTTAGCTAATCATCCTCCTGGTGTTAGGGTAAGCTGATCAGAGGTTTAACAACTTGAGTTAAGCAACAAATTAATAGATAATCCAAGATTCCCTCTTTAAGAAACCTTTCTTATTTTTCCACTTTATGTGACACTTATGAGAAAGCTGCTGCAGAGTGAGATACACCTTTAAGCCAGAGCTCAGGCAGAAGGACCCCTTTACTGGCTACCTTTTCTGACACTAGCGTGTTCAGGAATTTGAACTGGTATTAACTGACACTGGGCTGGGCAAGGAGCTGAGTTTTGAAAACACTTTTCCTGTGGAACAAATGGGAATTCGTTGATGGGAAAGGGAGGAAAATACATGTAATATTATAGAATATAAAATCATGTCTGCTAGGTCTTATGTGCATCTGAGTTAAGTCACGTTCTACCCTGCAAGGCTCTGGCTTCCTCATGGTGGTAGTCAGCCTCAATCTTAGTGTCATAATTAGTTCAGTTTCTTTTCACCATGCCTCTGCTTCCTTTTCCCATTCTTTCATTTAAACACAGGCTGAGGCTGAGGTGGCCTCCTTGAACCGCAGGATCCAGCTGGTTGAAGAGGAGCTGGACCGCGCTCAAGAGCGCCTGGCCACTGCCCTGCAAAAGCTGGAGGAAGCTGAGAAAGCTGCTGATGAGAGTGAGAGGTGTGTAGAGGGGCCTGATGAAGTGTGGATTTCAAAAGAAGTTCATAATGGCTCTGATCAAACAGGTTTCTTATAAACCCGTTTTTTAAAACCGTAACCTATTTTTATAGGATCTTCTTTCCTTCTGCATATTCTCTCCTTATGAAGACCGACAGAGTAGGGGTTACCTGGACCTGTGACCCTTTTATAATTGGTGTTTCTCTATAAATTGACCTAATAATCCTTAAATGGGGTCACCAGGATGACCTCCACTTAGCACCCACCCATAGCAGTTCTCAAAGTGAGGTTCCAGACCAGCAGCACCTGGGAACTTGGTAGAAACTCAAATCCTCAGCAGCCCCTACCCCTCATCTACGAATCAGAGACTCTTGAGGTGGAGCCCAGCAATCAGTGTTTTAATAAACTCTCAACCCTGGCTGCACTGTTGGAATCATGGGAGTGTGTGGTGGGGATCTTTGGGGAGTTTAAAAAATATATCAGGGACTTCCCTGGTGGCGCAGTGGTTAAGAATCCGCCTGCCAATGCAAGGCACATGGGTTTGAGCCCTGGTCCGGGAAGATCCCACATGCCATGGAGCAACTAAGCCTGTGCACCACAACTACTGAGCCTGTGCTCTAGAGGCCGCGAGCCACAACTACTGAGCCCACATGCCACAACTACTGAAGTCCGTGTGCCTAGGGCCTGTGCTCTGCAACAAGAGAAGCCACCGCCATGAGAAGCCCGCGCACCGCAACTAGAGAAAGCCCTCGTGTAGCAACGAAGACCCAACACAGCCATAAATAAATAAATTTATTTTATATATATATAATCTCTCAGAATGCCTGGGTCCCATCCCAGATCAGTTAGAATCCATTGCAAAAGAGGTCTGGGCACTAATGTTTTTAAAGCTCCTCCAATAATTTTTTTGGGGGTGGGGGGCCGCGCTGAGAGGCTTGCAGGATCTCAGTTCCCCAACCAGGAATTGAACCTGGGCCCCGGCAGTGAAAGCCTGGAATTCTAACCACTAGGCCACCTGGGAACTCCCTCCTCCAATAATTTTAATATGTGCCCAGGGTTGAGAACCACAGTCCTTGAACCAACTCATTTTTTGTCGAAAATAGCCAATTGGCTCCTTGTCACGTGTGAGTTAAATGAGAACAAAGGTGTGTGATGACTTGGATGGGATCAAACTAAGACTTTCAGAATTAAAAATACCCTGTTGGGAGTACATTAACGCAGTGCAGCTGTGAAAATAAATAAGACAGTTATGTGTGTACTATTACAGAGTAGTGTCCAAATTATAGAAAGAGGAAAACCAGTTGCAGAGCAGTGTGTAGTATGATTCCTTTGGGGTGTGGGGAAATGGAGATGAGATTTTTGGCATATAAAACATTTCTGGAAGGATTATGAATTAAGAGATTACTTCTGATGAGCAGGACTAGAATTAGGGAGGCTTACTTTTTGCTTTATGCTAGACTATACACTTAAATATTTTTAATAAGTGTATTATTTTTATAAGAAAGTTTTAAACAAAATAATTAAACTAAGGTTGGAGGGTGCTATGGAAATTCTTTTTGAGTGACAAGCAGAGAGGAATGGGCTTTAAAAGGTGCAATTCTGGGTCCCTTGGAGTTGAGTTGATGACAGGCTCCCCAGGCTGTCAGTGCCACATTTGTCCGTATTGTTTCTGGCAGAGGTATGAAGGTTATTGAAAACCGAGCCTTAAAAGATGAAGAAAAAATGGAACTCCAGGAAATCCAACTCAAAGAAGCTAAGCACATTGCAGAAGAGGCAGATAGGAAGTATGAAGAGGTAAGACGCTTTTAGCTTGTCCCTCTCTCTTCAGCGATATTGGGCTTCTGAAAAGAATCATGAGAGGGAAATGGCTCCTCCTTTGCTTCACTGAGCTGTACCTGCGTCTTGTCCCGTAGGTGGCTCGTAAGTTGGTGATTATTGAGGGAGACTTGGAACGCACAGAGGAGCGAGCTGAGCTGGCAGAGTCGTGAGTATCTTGCTCCCCAAATCTTGCCATACCATTCTGTTCCTTCCCCTTTGGCTTGGGCACTAATGTGAATAAACTAGCATTCCTTCAACCTTGTTAAACAGGACCTAGAGAGTGGGAGTCATCTAGAATGCTTTTTTTTAGCCTTAAGAATGGCTTTGGGCTTTCTTACTCTCTTAACTAGTGACAAGTGACAAATGAGGCTTCTTCATTGAGAAGAAAATGAAACCTAAAAAAATGGTGAAATGTTAACCGGCACACCCAACTGGGTTCTGCTTCTCCTTGAGGCATTGAAGTCGCTGTGCCGACTTAAGATCTGTCTCTGTTTTTACCACTTTGCCAGGCTGCTGGGGAACTTTAGGGCAAAGGCAGACATGACCTGCTCCCCTGTTGGCACCTTCTGGGCCTTGTTTAACAAAGTCCGTGCTGATGCATATTTATTTGTGCTTCCCTTGCATTCCCCTCTCCTAGACGTGACATATCATGACCATGGTGATGTTTTCTTCCCATTTTTTGATTTTTTAAATTTTTTTTCCCATTTTGCTGCTTGTTTCCTTGCTGTGTTCCTTTTTGACCTTTCTCCCTCCCCACAACCTGGCTTGTGCGATCCCTGTGACTATCACTAACAGCCGTTGCCGAGAGATGGATGAGCAGATCAGACTGATGGACCAGAACCTGAAGTGTCTGAGTGCTGCTGAAGAAAAGGTACTAACCATTGAACCCACAGAGAGGTTATACATATGGTGTGGTTTTGTTTGGTTTTGTTTTGTTTTGCAGCTGCCTCCCCTCCACTGGTTGAGTTGTTGAGTGCTTTTTCATCTCTTCATGGAATGCTCCATTCCTCTCCACTTACTTGGCATCTTTCATCTCTTCTTTCCTAATTGCTTCACTGCCTCTCCACAGGGTCTCACCTTCCCTTGGGTGATTTTGGGGACTATTTGGGTTGGGCATCCGTTCCCACCTCCACCCCAGGTAGCAGTTATGATTTGTTCCTGGTAGTGATTTCTGTCAAGTGTTTTCTTTATTAGTATCCAAACATTCTGAGTCCCAGCCCAGGAGGGTCCAGCTCCTGACATGTTCTATGGTAGAGGGAGGAGGGTTGATGCTTGCTCAGATTACCTGGGAACTTCTCTTTTCCCCAGTGTGCCTTCCAACTCTCTCTACATATAGGTACAATTCATGTCTGTGTGTCTCTCTCCTTTTTTTTTTATTCTCTTCTTCCCGTTTCCTTTCCTGCGGTATTTAAAATATTCACAGTAAGTGTTCTGAGCTGGAGGAGGAGCTGAAGAATGTCACCAACAACCTCAAGTCTCTTGAGGCTCAGGCGGAGAAGGTAGGGGCTGGTTTGTAAAAGTGACAGGCTTTGGGGCCTGGGCCCAGCCCTGCCCTTGATGAAAGACTGGAGAAACCCATTCCTTATATAATCCAGTGAGAAGTATCCACCTACTCTCTCCAGATTCTGGGTTTAATGCTAATTCCTGTGCACTTTGATTGCTGTAGTTAAAATGACTTCTTGGTCTCAGGTGACTGGGGTCATGTTCTCCTCTGGCTGATACTGCTATGCTGACAGAAGGGGACAACAAAAAGTATCAGATCTGAGACCTAATGAGCAGTCAAGACAGATGACTTGTCTTTATCTTCTTGTGGGACTCTTTCAGCCATGTGGCGTCAGGGTGTCACCACACCTACTCATTAACCTGGAGGCAGGAAGAATACCTTCCTGGGTTGATCTGAATAAGATCAAAGCTTAGGTCCATTTAAAAAATAAAGGTCCTGGGGACTTCCGTGGTGGCCTGGTGGTTAAGACTCCATGCTCCCAATTCCGGGGGCACAGGTTCGATCCCTGGTCAGGGAGCTAAGATCCTGCATGCCACTCTGCCAAAAATAAAACAATTTTAAAAATAAATAAAGGTCCTGGAGGATTCTGAGGGTATCATGGCTCTAAGGACATTGATTTATGGATTTTAAGGACTGTTGTCCCAAAACAGCCTTGCTCTTTCTCATGGATCATTCAGCACATTAAATCCAGGAGGATGTTCAGTGTAAAAGTAAATGTCAGGAGGGGGGGTATTGTCTGTGTGAGTAATTTCTATTCTGAAATGTTTATTCTACTTCTCTTACAGTACTCTCTAAAAGAAGACAAATATGAGGAAGAGATAAAGATTCTTACTGATAAACTCAAGGAGGTGAGCTGAGGGGATTATAAGGAAGGACCCAAAACATTTAGAGGCATGTAAGGCATTAATGTAGACTTAGACTAGCTGGCTTTGGTTCTGAAAGGTATAGAAGTAGAAGGTGGAAGAAGTAGAGATCCTTCTCTGTCTTACTCATCTCTGATTCTGACTGATTTCATGTTTCTCCCAGGCAGAGACCCGTGCTGAGTTTGCTGAGAGATCGGTAGCCAAGCTGGAAAAGACAATTGATGATTTGGAAGGTATGGAGCCTGGGTGAGGGATTAAAATAAAGAAATCTAGAGGATGACCTTGCCCTTTGACCGTTAGCCTCTTCCCCTGTACACCAAAGGAGTTGGTAATGACTTGGCATGCATCCTACGCCCTGCCCTGTGCCACAGCTAGGTGAAGTGGGTCAAATCCTGGAAGTGGATTTTTACACTTACTCTTCCTGTAATAAGACTTTACCTAATATTCTGGAATTTGCATCCTTCCCTTAGAGGAGACTGGTAATAGCATGTACCTCCATGTCACCCCATGGCTACTTTTGGCAATCTTGTTCACCACTCAAGTTGTGGGGGACCTCACCAAGAGATGCAGCAGTGGAATGACCACTTCTCAGAGCTGACCAATGCCAGGGGCTTTCTAAATACTTCCTGCCCCCATAATTTGGCAACTGTATCTACCCTAACAAGGGAAAGTTTGTATTGCTCTGAGAACTCTGAGATATGCTCCTTTGGTACACTCTGGGTAGCAGGATATTCTCTGGGAGAGTTTTGTGGAGGCAACCTGTAGAGCAAAGGGGTCAACAATATTGGTCACGATGGGTAGGTAAAGAAGAAGTGTCTGAATGTTAATGTGTATTTTCTCCTTTTTCTATGTTAAATTCAGCATTATCACTGCTAAGAATTGGGTTAACTGGGTGGGAGTGGTATCCTCTTGAGTGCCATTGGTGATTGGAATTTCTAGTCATGACTATGCCCAGGTTCTCAACCTTTACTGCAGTTGATTAGAGGCGTCAAGAAGTCCCGTTGGTCCTGGGGACAGTGGATCTGAAAATGGCCAGTCATGGCAACCAGGATAGATGTTCTCCTAACTGTGGGATTAGACCCATGGTCACACTTTCCCTAATTTCTAATGATTCCCTCTCTTCATCTGCTTCTGATACCTTTTATCTGTCCCCTCATTCCTCCCTGTGGTTCCTGTGCCTGTCCAGATGAGCTCTATGCCCAGAAACTGAAGTACAAGGCCATTAGCGAGGAGCTGGACCACGCCCTCAATGACATGACCTCTATGTAACTATCTGACAGCAGAGTGGGGCTGGGACCTTGGCTTGTGGGTGGGTGGGGGTGTAGGCTGTGCATAGTGTGCTCTGGTTTTGTCTTCTGAAAACTAGAATCTCCACTCTTATCTTTAAAACATTGGTGCTGGTTACTTGTTGGCAAAAGCTGGGGAGGCATTTAATCCTGGATCAGTGGTAGCACCCTGATCTACGTGTAATTTTTGTATTTTTTATTCATAGTCCCTTCATTATGACACCAGGATTTTTCTATCTGTTTCTCAAATTTAGTCTCAGAAGGGCTACTGATGAAGATAGAATCATGTCATCATATAATTTAAGGAACTAGGGCCCAGAGAGCCAGTGACTTGGGCCCTAGCATCTTACAACAAAACTCAGACTTCATGGGTGTATATGATGCCCTGATATTAAAGTTTAGAGGAAACACCCATGATTGAAAATACCAAATTCACCTAAAAATCGAGCTGAGTCCCAGAGCAAGCCAGGTAGTAAAAAGCACCAAAATGAGTTGTTGGGGACTTTATCTGTTTGCTGTGGATCCCTGATCCTTGATGCTAATCTGCCTTTTTCCCACTAACCCTGAAAAGAAGCCAAATAACTCAGGTTGTAGTGTCTGGCTCTCTTTTATCATTCCTACTGCCACCTCTTCCTTTTTCTCCTCTTCCTTTCTCCCAGATTGCTGTCTAGATTGATGCTAGTCCTTCTCACCTAGAGTCTCCTTACTTTTTCACACAGATAATTATCACCGTTTCTGCTCTGTTCTGGATCTGCCCTCTTTCCTCGGGGAACCCAACGCCCCACTCTCGCTCTGGATTCCATTTGGGTCAGCCTGGCTGACCCCCAAGGCATTAGGATGGGCGGGGGGACCACAAAGCAACTTATGTATTCTCTTCCACCCCTCACCCCAAATTAAAATGTTAAGCTGCCGGAAGCCTCATGCCACCCTGCATTTGTGTCATTGACAAAGCTGCTGCTGTCCCTAAAAAGGAGCCTTGGGGGTGTAATGTGGGGAGCAGCTATTGTAGGCTCTCCCTCCTCTGACTTATATAATCAAAGCCACTTTTGTGTGTGTCTATTTTTTCTTGACATTTAAATTCAACTGATCTGAATCTATCAGAGTGGTGGACTAGGCGAAGTTCCTTAGAATAGGAGCTCTAGTCTTACACTCAAGCTGAATAAGATCGTCTAAGTCCTTTACTTCCAGGTTCTTAAATCATCCCTTCTGGAATGTTTGTCTTCTCTTTAGGTTCTCCTCCTTTGAGAGACCACAGAAGTACCTCCCAATATATATTCTCTACCGTTTTACCAGTGGTTCAACTGGTGCATCCTTGGAATACCCAATGAACCCAAATATGTTACCACTAAAATTGACTAATTATATTATCCCAAGTCACAGAAAATACGTAAGAGGTAGAATTTCCAGCAGTTTTATGTTTTCTTTAAACCTTTCTTACATACGTGAGGCTCACTACCATTTGCCTGCTAGTATGTGCTACCGGGATATAAGACAAGTGATAAATGACTGTTACTGGAAAAATAAAAATCATGCATATTTCAAATATTATACACAAGGTAGTAATTTATTACATGCATAAATATGGTTAATTGCTTCTAGTAAGATTGTTCCTAGTTTATGTTGTAGAATTAAATATCAACCTTTCGGAAATTCCTACGCTAATTTACACAGCAGAGATAGTTGAATCTGGGTAGTGTAGTCATCGGTTGTACTTATCTAAGCACCTAAGTATTGTTCACTTAGTATTTCAGTTTCTCAGTGGAGTATATATTTAAAACTTGCCTTTCTTTTAAACAGATACAGCCAGGTAGAGAGGTTTTCCCTACTTTAAAACTTTGGGTCTCATCAAATTCAGGTTTCTTTCTGTCTATACCATTTCTTTTTGCCACACAGCCTTTGTGATTAAGGTGCAGGTTAAGTTATTGTTAATTTAGGCACAGGGTATTAAGGTGGGGACAGAAATAACCAAAGACGGAGGCATCATCCCTACTCTCAGGTTGCTCAGAATCCAGTAGGGGAGAGAACATATGTATAAAACTAAAGATGATGTGTGATATGTGCCCCAAGTAATGAAGTTTTGTGGGAGTTCAGAGACGGGGAAGAGGTTGATTGCAGTGGAGATGATTAAAAAAGTCTCATGGTAGGAGGCACGTAAAAGGTACTTAATAAACATGTTAAAATTTTCCTCTTCATTTTTATTGGATTCCAAAAGATTGGATTTTTGACAACCAGAATCTGGTTGAAGGAAAGTGGATATTGAGTATCTTCATTAAAGAGAAGCAAAAGAATAAAGGCATAGAGTTGGGAAGGACACCAGAGCTATAACCATTTAGTTACAGTAGGGAACAGGTATGTGCTGTATCAGGCTGGGGAGTTTTAATTTTGTAGGTAATGGGGGTGCCACTGGAGATTTTGAACAAGGATATGTTCTGAGTAGCATATAAGAAGAGTTAATTTGGCAACTACTAATATGTTAGAAGAGCAGATTATCAAAGTGATCCATTAAGACAATGATTCCCAAATTTCATTCATTTGCATACTACTTTTTTTTTTTTGCGGTTCGCGGGCCTCTCACTGTTGCGGCCTCTCCCGTTGTGGAGCACAGGCTCCGGACGTGCAGGCTCAGTGGCCATGGCTCACGGGCCTAGCCGCTCCGCGGCATGTGGGATCTTCCCGGACCGGGGCACGAACCCGTGTCCCCTGCATCGGCAGGCGGACTCTCAACCACTGTGCCACCAGGGAAGCCCTGCATACCACTTTTGATGGCTTTGGCCATATTCACGTGCAGCCTACATTATTTTTTTAATTTACTTCTTTTCAGATTTGTTCTTACGCTACAAAATTCTAATTTGAAATCAAAAGTTTTGACGTGTGCTAGTGTTTTTTTCTAATGCACATTAAAATAATACAGCTAATACATTTTTTTTAAGTTCACAAATGTATACTGTCTGCAGTCTTCTCACATATCACTAGCAGTGACTGTAGCACACTTTAGGAAATACTGGGTTAGGTTGTTGCAGTTTCCCAGAGATAATAATCTGAACTAGAGTAGTGGTGGTAGGGGATGGTGCTAAACCTGGGCATTGTGAAGGGCCTGGTCACTAAATGCAAGAAGGAAGTGTCAAGGATGACTGACTTGGAGCCTAGGAAAATGGTAGTATTAAAGGTGTACAGAGGTCACGTGGTCTTGGTTTGGGGAGGCACGGGAAAGTAGAGAAGAGTATAAGTCTGAAAAACTGGCAGGTATCCAAGATGAAAACAAAATCCTAAGACTTGAGGGGGAGAAATTGATATGAGAGATTTAGGAATCCATGAGGTTGGCAGGCAGTTTAGGCCATGGAAGTAAATTTGAACCCTAAAAGACAATTGCAAATATAAAAAGAAAAACATAGGCAGAGGAAAATCTGTGTAGAGGACGAAGCCAAGTGGAATTGGTTGGAGGGATAGAAGGAGAACGAGTAACTTTGATACTTTAAAAACTTCAAGGCTGGGTGATTTCCAGTGATTCTCAACTTCAGATAGAGAAGGAAGATAACTGAAAAGAGGACATTGTCACTGATGTTTTATTAATCTGAGGGTATATACTGGACATTAAGGACAAGGAGAGGAGCCATATTTCAAGGAACAGAAGAGTGAATTGGTGGAAAGAAAATAAAGGCACGAAGTATAGTCTATAGTCTATACAAAGTCCAATAGAACTTTTGGCAGTGATTTCCAGTATAGTAGCCACTAGCCACATGTGGCTATTGAACACTCAGTGTGGCTAGTGTGACCCAGGAGCTAAATTCTCATTTACTCTTAGTTCATCTAAATTTAATTAGCCACATGTGGCTAGTGGCTGCTGCATTCATTGGATAGTACAATTCTAGATGTTTTAGTATGTAGGCAGAAGGAGTTGACTTTGGTACAGAGAAAGGCTTCTTACAAAGGAAAGAAGAGAGAGTAGAGAGAGATTAGAAGAAAAATGAGGTGTTATACTTTGGTAGCTCCTGTCTTTCCCCATGGCATGACTCGTGTGAGCAAGGATAGAGACCAAGAAGCCAGGGTAGCAGAGTGAAATTTGCAATACTGTACCATGATAAATTCACTCTTTTGTTTAATGCTTTGTATCCTTATAGAAACCATCCTATGTTACTTGAGCCAGGACTAGCTGTGGAAATGGGGTGAAGCATCATTGGTAATCTCAGAGCAAAGTGCTTCATCTCTTAACTTTCTCTCCTCATCTTAATTTCTAAGAAAGAACCACAGGCTGTTGTGTTGGAGCCCATTCTTCCCTTCCTCATTACCGTTGTTGGGATGAGGAATAAAACAAAATGTGATTGGACCCCAAGTTACCTGATGGGTGGAACTGACCTGTTATGTTAGGCAACCTTGTCTTAGTCACACCCAGTTTCTTCCATTCACATATTAAATACTCCTTAGCCTTAACATGAGAGGGGAGTTTAAAAAAAACATAAAAGAGCAAAATCTGTTTTTTCTACCTCATTCCTTGAACTTTGAGGCTTTAAAACTGATAGAGTTCCCTTTACCCCAAGCACCCGCACCCTTTTTCCTTTTCCTGTTACAGAATGAAATTGACCTGATTCAGACCAGTGAAGGATGTGTAGCATCCATGGGATTATTCCCTGAAAGGAAAATCAGATCAAATGGGGATTCTCTGGCTTGTTTTTTTGTTTGTTTGTTTCATTTACTCTTATCAGGGAATCAAGAACTTTAATGAACTAGTGTCTGGTCCTGAATTTTTAGTTACTAGAAATAACAGAGTTAGAAACCTTACTTATTACTAAGTTCAAGGTGGGAGAACAACCACATTTATCTTTCTGACCTTCTGCAATTCTTAAGGAACTATAAGTTCTGGGATTTAATTAGGCAATAAAATGCTCCCACTTCTTCTCTGTCTCTTTATTTCTTCCCTAAGTGGAACAAAACCCTCATTGAACTGGCTGTTTTTAGGGATATGATCCTGATAACACCCTTCTTTCCCAAGAAGGATGCGGGAGTCACACTGACTAACTTGGATATAGATGCTATGGATCAGTCAGGTTGCATATGGTCTTTATATGTAATATAACACCAGAAAGTTCAAGAAATGAGAGTTCAACGTAATTTGAACCCCTACTATTTGTCAGAGTTGCCCCAGTGAATAAGACAGGTTGAATCCCAGGCCTCATGGACTAGTATAGACTAGTACAGTGTTTCTCAATGATGAACTTTAGTCCTTTAAGCCAGGATAATTCTGGGATATACAGAACAATCCTATTTATTGCTATCCCCTGCCCAATAAATATCTGTAGGGCCCTCCAGTTATTGTGACAATTACACATTTTTAAATTCCCCTCTAGCGGAGGGGAGGGGCAGTATTCCTCCTATTGAGATACTGGTTTAGTGGGAAGTGCAATTTTAAAAATTCCCTCCAATTCTGCCCCTTAATACGACTCTTGTTTTTTGGTTATTCCGCCCAGGATCTTTTTGTACATATATGCTTTCTGTTTTGATTGGGTACAGCGTGACAAGTATTATTGGGAACATACTGGCCCCCTGCTTCCAGGTGGAACTGGGAAAACCTCAGCCCAGAAGGCAAGGTACCTGAGCAATGCCCACAGTCAGCCCACAGATGCAAGGCAGAAAAGTCTTTTTCATATTGAAGTCCTGAGACCATTTTGAAACAGACTGTAAAACATAGAAAGAAATTTGTTTATGAACACCAGAGGCTGACATTAGGAGTAGACCAGGAAGATCCATCCCCAGTTGCCATTACCTCTGTGTTGGTCACATGGATTTGGATTCTCTCTACCTCCTCTTTTTTATTTATTAAAAAAAATTTTTTTTCTTGTGATGAGAACTCTTAGGATGACTTTCTTAACACCTTTCATGTATAACATACAGCAGTATTAATTACATTATGTTGTACATTTCATCCCTGGTACTTCTTTATCTTATAACTGGAAGTTTATACCTTTTGACTACCTTCATCCCATTCCCCCTCCCCCCACTTCCCACCTCTGGTAACCACAACTCTGATCTCTTTTCTATGGCTTTGTTTGTTGAAGTATAATTGACCTACAACACTACGTTAGTTCCTGGTGCACAACATAGTGATTTGATATTTCTATGCATTACAAAACGATCACCACTCTACACCTCTTTAAGATGTGCTCCAAGTAGAAAATCCAGATAAAGCCAGGGGATTTGAGCGCTTAATTACTTGTATCAGGAATGCTTTTGGTTATAAGAAACATCTTAATAGCAGCTTAAATAAATATGGGATTTATTTTTCTCTCATAATAAAAAGTCTTGATTTGAGCAACTGTGGCCTGATATAGTTGGGATTTCTGTGATTCTCACGGCCCTTTCTTTTAAGGTTGAAATTTGCAACTCTAGTCATCACATCCATGTTCAAGGCAAGAAAGAAAGCTAAAGTTTTTCTAGAAGCCCCTGACAGACTACCCCCTACATCTCATTGGCCAAAACTGGATCACATGATCCCCCCAAGCTGCCAATGAGGCTGGAGAAACAGGATAGTCTTGGTTGGCTTGTACCAGTAATTCACCTTACCTGGGGCTGGCTGGACACACTGTTGGCTCGGACAGGTTTGGGGTTCTTTTAGAAAAGGTGAAGTTGGGTTTTGATTCGCTGTGCCACTATGATGGGCCTGTCACCCAACACCTACAACAAGAAGCATTAGAAAGTACAGGATTGAGTGAGTGTAGGGATATTTATCCCAGTCTCCCATTCATAATACTGTACTGAATGCTTTTACAGAAAAATGTTCAACCATTCACTCTGGTTCCTTACAGACCCCGATTATTATAAATGTATTTCTTATAAGCCAGGTGTATTCCTTCCTTTGCTGTGTTTCACTTGTCTCAGTTTCTCAACCCAGGGAATAAATACGGTGAAGGAGATACTTTTCTCCCTCAAAATGTCATTCTTTCAACTTGTCAGTCTGCATTTTTTATTTTATTCCTCTGTTGGTCTTTCCACCAACTGACCTAATCCTCCTCGCATCCATCCTGCCTTACAGATACATATTATGTATACCAGGTAGTTAAAAGTCTCAAAATTTACTTCTGGTACTCTACTAACCTTCCCTTTTTCTCTTTCTCCTCCTCTTTTTCCTCTCCTTCTCTTGTTTTCTCTCCTCTCCATTGCTGCTGCAGAGCGTCTCTACAGCCAACTTGAGCGAAACCGCCTGCTTTCTAATGAGCTGAAGCTAACGCTGCATGATCTGTGTGACTGATGGGCAGGGCTCACTGATGCCCATTAAACCGAGCTTACGGCTCACACCACTGACCTGGACCCCAGCAAAAAGCTGATTGTCTTTTAAAAGTTATTATTTTGCCCTAAGCAAATTTCTTTTTAGTTGGGACAGTTAGAATAGCGTCGACTTCCTAACTGCACTGTAAAGTGGGAACAGTTAAGATTAATACTGCCTTTCTGTCCCTTTTCAAGAGATTGTGGGTGATGAAGGGAGGGACCTGAGAGATAGTGAGAAAACCTGGGAGAGTTTTCTGTTTTCCACCTTTACTTGCTGCTTTTTCACTTGTGCACTGACTGTAGGATATGTTCCCTTGCATGGATGTTTTCTAACAATAAAAGGACTGACTTGACAAGATGTTGTAACTGCTTCGTCTGCAGGCCCAGGGATGGGCCCTTCTGACCGGGTAGAAAAAAGGGAAGGGAAAGAAAGGGGTGTGGGATATGAATAGGTCTGCGTTGTCATCCCCTTCTCTGAGTTGAAGGGTATTTTCCCCACCTCCCTAGAGCAGTGAGTGGTTTACTTGCTGGGAAGCTTTGATTCTCCGTGATGTTCAGCTGCCGGTTTTCTTCCTGACATTTTTCCTCTTGCTGCTTTTTCCTGGTATTATGTTTAATTGTAAGTAACTATGTCACAGGCTAGTTCTGAAGAATAGCTCTGCAAAAATCTGATAAGGGTTTGCTTACAAGGATGTTTTGTAGTATTCTTGACTTTGTTTTCTTTTGAGATTCTCTGACTTAGCTATGGGGGTTCTTTTATTTATCCCACTAGTTATTCCTTTCCTCTCTACTTGTTGAGGAAAGCCTGTAGTGCATGAGGATCCTCCTGTACTCTTTTCAAGTTGAGGTTCTGCTGTGTCTACTGGTAGAAGTATGCCCATCCTTGTTCTCAATGTGTCAAGCTCCAGCGAGCTATTTCGAGTAGGTGTTGTCCTGTGGGCAGAGACTAGAAGAGTGGATGGCTGGTGTTTAAGGCCACCTCCTTCCATGACTGAAAGCTGAAAGCCTTGGTTGGGTGTGGGGAGGAGAGGAAATGACTGATAAGGTCCCCAGCTCCCTCCCCCAGAAGTACAGCAACACCTGTAACTTCAGTAGGCAAGCCTGAGGCCCTGCAAAACTGAGTGATGCAATAGCTCACTTCTGTGGCTGAGAAGGCAGCTGCTTTATTAGTCTGCAGTTTCTCTGCAACAGGAGCAATTCTCAGAGTGGGTAGACCTTGAAATTTACTTCTAGTTTTTATAACGTCTCTCCTTTACCCCCATTAGATAAACTGAAATGCACCAAAGAGGAGCACCTCTGTACACAAAGGATGCTGGACCAGACTCTGCTTGACCTGAATGAGATGTAGAGCACCCCAGTCCCATCCTGCCGCTGCTCCTCCCTCTGACCCGACTCCGCTGAGGCCAGCCTGCCCGAAGCTGACCTTTAAACTGAGGGCTGACCTTTAACTGGAAGGCTGCTTTCTCCTTTCGCCACCTCTCCCACCCCCACCCCTGTGTCCTTTTCGCCAAACTGTCTCTGCCTCTCCCCAGAGATTCCATTTGGGCTAGAGGCTGAGCACCTTTGGGAACAACGTTTAAGGGAATGTGAGCACAATGCTAAGTGTCTTTAAAAGCATGTTGTGATGTACACATTTTGTAATTACCTTTTCTGTTGTTGTTGATGTAGCAGCCATTTGTAAAACATTCCAGATAATTCCGTAGTTCTGAAGCAGCAGTCTAATCCCTTTCTCACTTTTGGAAGGTAACTTTTCAGCTTAATGCATATTGCCCTCTCCGTAGAGGAGGGGAAAAGGTATGGGCCTGCCTTACAGAGAGCCAAACAGCCCAGAGGACTCCGTTTTGGGAAACCTTATTGCTCTGTAAAAAGTACCCGCCAAACCAGAAAGGTGATTCCAGAAGGAGTTAGCCAAAAAAAAAAAAAAAAAAAGCGCTGTTCAGGTTTTCAGCTTTACGGTATCTTTGGGCAACTTCTTTTCCACCAGAAGTGACCAGATGAAATCAAGATGGTGAGACCTCTGAGACCAAATCCTTGTCCCAGCTCTCCCCTGTTCCCAGCCGCTCACAGAATGGATCATGTGCCCCTTATTTTGAGGCAACCACTTATTTGCTCTCCCGCCTCCTTGAAAGAAAGGAAAGAAAATTATGTTTTACCACTGATTTAGCCATATGAAACTCATCTCATCACCCTTTTCTGGGTCTGAAGCTGCTGTCTCTAATAAAAGTGCCATCTCATTGTGCATTGTATCAGTTAGTGCTGGAGAAATCTTGAATAGCTTATGTACAAAATTGTTTTTAAATTTTATATTATTTTGAAACTTTGCTTCTTTGGGGTTGGGGCACACTGGTCACCCCATCTGGCTGTGACAGCCCTCTACAGTCTGGGCTGGCAGTGTGCTGATCTTTTAACGTTTCTTTCCCTACCCAGTCCCCCCTTTTTGGTGAGGTTTCAGTGAGGTCAGTTAGGTGTGCATCCTACAGCTTAATTGGCTTAAAATGTACTCCCCTTTGGTGTGGTCTCTTTGGGGGCCGATTGGGAGAAAGAAAAAACAATAGTGTAACTGTTTTGATACTGAACATTGATAAATGTCTTTTTGAAATAAAGAACCAGTCCCTCCAACCCTCAGAGGTGCTTGCTTTTATTTCCTAATCCAAATGGGCTTTCTACACAGGAGCTATGAAGTTTGGGTAAAAATCAGACCTTTGTGGGTGGAAGCAACAGGATTTGATGTAGAGCACGCATTTTGGAAGGTGACCAAAACTGGGGTCAGAACTCAGCTCTCAGATCCCTAGTTGTGTATTCTGATGTCAGTCATTTAGTTTCATTATCTGTAAAATAAAGATAATATGTATTGTTAGGGTAAATGTGAAGATTAGAAATATTTATGTGCTGGACCTTAACACTGGCGTCTTCAGGGTGAGCTATACATTTCCTTTATAACTGTATTGATTCTAAACAACTTCAACAATATATGACACGGATTACGTACTCCTATACATTTGTGGTTTTAGTAAACCGTCCTGAGACAGGCTTCGAGCTGATACTCCGTTGGATATTTGGAGAAAACAATTTAACAAGAGGTGCTCTCAGAGTATTTGCTTAACAGACAGGCAGCGTGAGTGGACAGCTTTCTAAGCTGTCTGTGAGACGCCAGTGCCTGGCATTTCCTGCACTCTGGCCTTGAGGCTGGACATGAAACGGACTTCCTAGTAAAAATGACAGCTTCCTTGACAACGTCCAGCTGTTTATACTAGAGACTGGAACATTTTTTCCTTTTATATGTATGGGCCGATGCTGACTGGAAATTATTGCCAAAAAAAGGGGGGGGCAGGGAGTTGCTCTAGGAGCCAAACGTAGTAGGCAACAGAAAGAGAAATTTAGCTGTGAGAGACTATTTTTTTAGACTGCTCTGCTTGTTCTTTACTATTAAAAAAATCTGCCACTCAATATTTAAGAAAGTAGCCCTTTAAGTGGGTAGCTGGGTATGTGCCTTAAAGCTTCCATAACGGCTTGCTGGAGCGCTTCATAAAAACATTCCCATAATTCCCCGCAGAACGAAGGCCCGCCTCCTGATGACGTCACGCCTGCGGATTGGCTGACGTTGGGGCTGAGGGCGCGGCTGTAGTTGAGCGGGAACTGAGAGCTGGCAGTTGCCATGAAGGCTGTTGGATCACCCGGGCCCCGAAGCGACGGGCTGTTTTGGTTTCCTCTGCAGCGCCTCCTGTTGCTGCTTCTCTTTTTGCTTGGAACCCTGGCCAACAAACTTAACGTGCCACAGGTGTTATTGCCCTTTGGCCGGGAGCCAGGCCGGGTTCCTTTCCTGCTGGAGGCGCAGCGGGGCTGTTACACTTGGTGAGGGGTAGAGGGTCACGAGGGTATGCACCCCCAACGCCACCCAGGAAGAATGGGAGGGGTTCCTCAACCGAAGACGCCACAGGAATGCTTTACGGTCACTCGGCCTGAAGAGCCCCTTGCCCGTAGGGGCTGGGAGTGGGGTGTCAGTGGGAGTGCAGTGGCCAGCCCCTCTGAAGTGGCCTGTCCTCGTTGTGTGGGATGTCTTCAGCTTATGTGTGGGGCCTTATATGAGCAGTTAGGGTGTGAGACTGGCCTTCTTATTGTGTGTTGGGAGGGGTAGTCACTGTGTGAACAGCTGTCAGGGCGCAAGGAAGCCCTGTGTTGGAGGCCTCAGGCATTGATGGCTACCCAATGCGAAGAACTTTCAGTGTAAACAGCTAGAGAGGAAGTTCCCAAGGTGTGAGGAAATTTATTGAGGGGCTAGAGAGGCTTAGGTTGTGAGTTCTCTACAAACTAAATAAGGTGGGGTTTTCAGTGTAAAAACACAACTAATTATTGCATACTTAACTAAGCACTTTGCATGTGTTAACTCATTCGGTTTTTACAGTCTTATGAAGTATTATTATTCCCATTTTAAAGATGAATGAATTGAGGCATAGACACCATGAAGTATAAACTTCTTGTAATATGAGAAGACGTATTTTGGGTGGAGATGAGATCTGCCTGTAATATTATGTTTCCCCCCTTATATGAGAGTACTCTCAAAGTGTACACTCAACTTTGGGGTAATCAACTCTGGGGGGATGACTTTCTGACTGGGGGTGGAAAGACATGATTTTCTGGTGTGAGAGGACCCAAACATAGGTGGTGTGGTTTCCTAAGGTGTGAGGGAACCTAACGGAAGTGGGTTCCAAAGTATCAGAGGGCTCATCCTAACGAGTAGATTTCCCTTTACCATCACTTAAGAGAAGCACTAAGATTTGTCCAGAGTGTAAGAAGTTCACCTCGCATTTTATGAGGAAGTACAAGGGAATCAGGCTTATATGATGGTCCAGTGTGATTTATTTCCTGACTGAGGATGATGGAAGGCATGAATCTAGCATTGAAAGCCATTCCTTCCATCCATCTAAAAATATTAATGATTTTTAAAATTGTATTTTGAGTTGGACTCACACCTCATAATTTGGGCAACATTTCCACCTTAGAAAGCAGCAGCCCAATTTCTAGGATCAGAGGAAATTCATTCCTCAGAGTGTGAGAAGCCAGGTCTCTCATTTTTGGAAAAACAACATCAATCCTATTTTTACATACTGAGGGAAGAAAGTAAAAATCTTATTTTAAATATTGAGGGAGGAATGTAACTTGGCACAAGGGATCACTGGAAAATGTTCTGATCAGCCTCTCCCACTTAAATCTTGTGTCCCTAAGCAATGTTTCTATTTTAAAGAATCATTTAAATACACCTGGTAGTATGTAACATGGAAAAACTATAGGAATCTATGTTATACCAAAAGTTAATTTTAACCCACATTCTTATTTCATACTCTTAAGTATTTTATTCTGGCAGGCATTCCACCCATCATGATGCAGTAACTGTTGAGCCTTTATATGAAAATGGCACCTTATGTTCCCAAAAAGCTGTGCTCATTGCTGAATCTACCCAACCAATACGCCTCAGCAGTATTATTCTTGCTCGAGAGATAGGTATGTTGAGACAAAACACACTATGTAACAGTTCATCAAGAATAGAATAATCTGATATCTTTTATAGATGGTTAACAGAGACGGTGTTGGCTTCAAATGATAAGAGGTAGAAAAAAGGATTCCTGCAATTTTGACATCCTATTCTGTGATTTTTTTTCTTTTTTTTCTTTTCTTTTTTTTTTTTGATACATCCAGCCCCTGGCATGGTGCCTGATACAGAGTGGAAACTGGTTGTTTGAATCAGTGGTGAAAGGAAGGAACTATTTATCAGAGCTAGCTTGGGTGTTAAGGTCTGAGGTTGGTCTTGAGTGAGGCAAAAGGCAGTATAAAAACTAGTACTTCTCAAAGTGTCAGCTATGAATCTAGGATCTGCATCATAAGCATCACCTGGGAGCTTGTTAGAAATGTAAATTCTCAGGCCCCACCTTAGATCTGCTGTATCAGAATCTCTGGAGTGAACCCAGAGATCTGTATTTTGAACAAGCTCTCCAGGTGATTCTCATACAGACTAAAGTTTGGGAAGCACTGCACTAGTCTATTTTAGACCAGAGCAGCTTAAGAAATGCTATTTGTGGAACTTCGCTGGTGGCACAGTGGTTGGGAATCCGCCTGCCAATGCAGGGGACATAGGTTCAAGCCCTGCTCCGGGAAGATCCACACCTGCTGCGGAGCAACTAAGCCCGTGGGCCACAACTACTGAGCCTGCGCTCTAGAGCCCGTGAGCCACGACTACTGGACCCGTGTGCCACAACTACTGAAGCCCACGCACCTAGAGCCTGTGCTCCACAACAAGAGAAGCCACCGCAATGAGAAGACCGTGCACCACAATGAAGAGTAGCTCCCGCTCGCCGCAACTAGAGAAAGCCCGCGTGCCACAACGAAGACCCAATGCAGCCAAAAAATTAATTAATTAATTAAATTAAATTAAATTTTAAAAAGAGAAATGCTATTTGTATCCAAAATCAGAGCAGGGCTCTTTGTATTCCTGAGTTTCTGGCACTTGATATTGTCATATTGATAGGCCAGAAATATCTGTATGGCTTTTATTTTTATTTACTTATTTTTTTCATTTATTTATATTTGGCTGCATCAGGTCTTCATTGCTGTGCGTGGGCTTTCTCTAGTTGCGTCGAGCAGGGGCTACTCTTTGTTGCGGTGGGCAGGCTTCTCACTGTGGTGGCTTCTCTTGTTGCGGAACACAGGCTCTAGGCTCACGGTCTTCAGTAGTTTCAGCACGGGGGCTCAGTAGTTGTGGCGCACGGGCTTAGTTGCTCTGAGGCATGTGGCATCTTCCTGGACCAGGGATCGAACCCATGTCCCCTGCATTGGCAGGCGGATTCTCACCCACCTCGCCACCAGGGAAGTCCCAATGTATGGCTTTTAAATATTTTGATAAGTTATATATCTATACTATATTCTTAAAGAGAAATTCAAGATGTTTGGTATACCATATTTCTTATTATTGAAGATGCCATCTATTGTAAAGCTATTTTTAATGTACCACTATGAAAGAACAACATTGCCAACTAAACTATGCTTTTCTTCACTTAGAATTCTTACTTTATACCTACTGAAGAACTCTTTGACTTAGATGGTTATTTTTATTATGTATCACTCTCATGCCTGATAAAAAGGAAAATATAAATAAAATTAACTGGATAAAATATTCCTAAGACAAATTTAACATTTTGCCTCATCTGAATCACTTTTTGACTGGGAATCATCAGCGTCTGTGTTTATCCCCACAACATTGTCCTTTGTGCCATCAAGACTGTTAGTGACATAGCATTTCTTAAAAGAATCACTTAAAACCAAAACCACCTAAAAGGTATTAATTGGGCTCATGAGTTGGCTTTGCAATTATATAGAGCTGGTCTGTTTTTGTCTCCAGCTTTGAAAAGGTTCCTAGCACATCTGAGTCACCACCTTTCCCACCCTGTCTCTTTAACCATTCGGTTCCAAGGGAAAAAGAGTGCTCCACCATTGCTCACCATGTTTTCTTCCAACTACTAATACCCATTCTGCAAGTTTGATGTTAGCCCTTTTAAAGTTCTCACATATGCATTCAATGACAACTATGTCATGACTGCTGCCTGGCTGACAATTCTAAGATGTCATCAGTTATA